GCCGTAGTTTAATATTCAGATAAACAGGTTGTTCATCATTCAGAAGAGGGAGTATTCATATCCATACTTCCTTTCAGTTCAATTATTAGCTACCGTTCAGTTATCAGTTCAATTACTAGTTATCAGTTTAGTTATCAGTTATCAGTTATCAGTTCAATTACGAATTATCAGTTCAGTTATCAATTATCATTTCAGTTTCAGTTTTAGCATTTATAATTCTTTCTTTCAGTTGCTTTACATACCAATGCAATTCAAATGTACTGACGTCCCTTTTTCCCGGGGCCTGCATCTCACAATGCAGGCAATGAATTACAGGTTGATGATTCCAAGCGCTAGGATTCTCGTACCAGCTATTTGGTGATCCCAGTTCTTTCGGGGCATTATCATTACCTTACAGTCTTCAGTATTTTTTAGATAGTCAGTGTTTTCAGTACTTCATTAGAGGCTTCATAGACTAGAGTAACAGTTAGACAGAGTCTCAGACTTTTCATGTTAAGCTATGTTGGCTACAAATATGTTTCAGAATTGTATTAGTATTTCCGCACTTTGATTTATATCATCCAGACTTTCAGTATATCAGCATGTGTTAGTTTATCTTCCGCATTCAGTATGTTATGATACCACATGTTGATTCATCCAGCCAGTTGGTTCGCTCGATCACATGTAGTCAGGCACCGAGTGTCGTGTTACGTCCAGGCCCAGGTTCGGGGCGTGACAATGGACAAGGCAGAAACTCGGCCAAGGCGTGTGCGAGCGGCAATGACGTCGGGTGTTTGTGGCAAAGTCATGAGCGGCGGGTTGCGGACAAGGCATTGGTGCGGCGTTATATCAAAAGAGCCAAAGTTGGGTGCAATTCCATCTTTGGGCGTGCTGCAGCTAGCCAGCAAAAGTGCACATGAAATGCACGTGCCAAAGTTGTTGGCAGTTACCTATTTGTAACTACTTGTACCCATGACTGCTTTATGTTTGTATCCACTATCATTTTGTGTAGATCGTGGCCTATGTAGTTGGGGATGTCAACTACAAGATAGGAATAGATTTAGCATTAGCCCGCAAAGTGGTAAAAGCTGTAGTCAACAAGTGTCAATGTGTTTTCAAGTGCCAAAGGTTTCCTATGTGCTATAAATAAGTGCCTTTGGATTTAGTCAGATCTGTATGGGGAATTTCGTGTGCAATTCAAAAGGGACACAAGAGTGAAATGTGAGGGTTTCTAAGTGTTTCAAAAGGTACTAAGACTAGGCATTGGGCAGGTCTTAGTGTTGGCTAAACACTACAAAAAAGGGTAAATTGCGGAGGTTTATTTGCGGAGGGTATAAGTAACCTCCGCAATTTGCATACTTTTGCGGCAATATATTAGCCTCCGCAAAATTATACAATTTACGGGGTTCTAAAACTTCCGCAACCCTAAAATAATAGCGGGTAATTTATTTTACACTCCTTCCTTTTTTTCCCAATCTTTTCCGAAACTTCCGCTTTCCCCAATCTTTACTCTCTTCTTCTCTGATTTTCACTCTTATTTAAAAAGAAACTTCAGCCTTCCATGCTCTCTTCTTTCTGCTTGCCTTCTTCTTTCATGAATCTCGTTTGGGATTCATGAAGTAATTTCTTTTTACCTTAATGAGATTTTAATGTTAAGATTTGAAATTGCGGTTTTAAGAATATAATTTTCCCAAACAACTAAAAGGCACGGCTCGTATAGATCTGTGGAATTTCGTTTTTGTCTTAGAATTTTTTTGGACTACAAGAGGAAAGAAGCACTGTGGGTGGCAAAGAATTTGCAAAGAAGTTGCATATTGAGAGGTAATGGAAAAATATCCATCTTTCTTTTTCCCTACATCTTTTATCTCTCGTATCTATGGAAAATAAGCATCTTTCATACAAAATTAGGGATTCTTATAAGAACAGATCTAGCAGATTTTTGAAATCTCACTAGTATACAAACGTTGGTTTGCATTTGAATTTTCAGATACTTGGATGTCTGAAATTACTTTTGAATTACACTAGCTTCTTTCCTTTCTAAAGTCTCACATTCCCTATGAAATAAAATTCAACTAATTCATACAAAGTCTAGCAGATTCTTATAAGAATAGATTCATACAAAAAAATTCCATAAGCCATTTTGGTTAATATCAATTTTTCATATGGATTGTCATGAAAAACGAAAACTATGGATTTTTAATTTTAGATGCTTTGTTAATTGAAGTATTCTAGCATCTGACGCTCTCAAATTTTGTACCAGATTTTTCCTACATTTGCACTCTAATTCCATACATTTGTACCAGATTTTCCTTTCTTCATTGTTAATTGAAGTATTCTTTTAATAGTTGTGAATAATTTCGAAAATATATATGCAATTTTATGCATGCACGTATGATAAATCAGCTTTGGGTGCATTAGGAATGAGGTTTCTATTTAGTGTATTGAGAGGACTCAAATTTTCAAGTATTTTGGTTCCAATTAGCGTGAGGTTAACAATGGTAGTGTTCAATTTGTCAAATATTTTTCTGTTTCGAGTATAATTTTTGTTGTTTTGATCAAATTGGACAGGGAGACTGATTTATCGGAAAATATAATTGAAGGTTTTGGGATTCTGTCGATATCGGAGGTAAGAAATTTATTTTTGTACATTGCAGTACTATATTCACTTCTTCCACATATAGTACAAAATTGAAACAACTTGAAAGAACAAAAAATTACTTAAACATGAATTGAAACGTACAAAATGCATTCTTACATGTTTCTTAACTTTATTTTCTATCATGATGCTTATAGTTTGTTGACTTACTTGTCTTTGAATCTACTTATTATTGTTGGGAGATATGACTATGACTATGCAAATGCATTCTTTGTTTTGGAATTTTCATGTTTGGTAGTGTTTATGATTATAGATGGCTTTTGTTGTATGTATTATTGCTTCATAATTATTATTATTATTATTATGTATGCTAATAATAGAGAACTGATATTTTCTCTTTATATTCTGAAAGGTTCACATTTGAAAGATAATACTTTCCTATGGATAAATCTTGGATTACAAAGCCAAGGAACACCACTGAGTATTTGTTTGGGTTAAATCAGTTTTTAGATTTTGCATTTGCTAATGCTGTTGTGGGAGATAGAATAAAATGTCCTTGTTCTAAATGTGGATTCGTAAAGTGGCAGACTAGAGATGTAGCGTTTGATCATTTGGTATGCAAACCATTCCCTCAAAATTATGTCACTTGGAGTATTCATGGTGAAAGAAATGTACTGCCTAATTCTATAAATATTGAGGTTATACAAGAGACATTACCTCCTGAAAATCATGTAGAATTATTGATCAATGAAGCATTTGGGGGCCTAAGACACGATAGGGTTGATGTAGGTCCGTCAAAAGTAGAAGGGGGTGAAGAAAGGTTAAATGATGAGCCTGCTTCAAATGACAAAGACTTTTTCGAGTTGCTTAGAGATGGAAGTCAAGAATTGTATGAAGGGTCCAAGTACTCAAAACTAGAATTTTTATTAAAATTATATCACATAAAGTGTTTGTCTGGGCTAAGTGACAAGGGAATGTCCATGTCCATGTCCATAAAATTGTATCACATAATTTTTTTTCTTTGCAATAATATTTTCAGAATATACTATATGGTAACTATTGATATGACAAATGGCGATATAATTTTATCGTTCACACGCTGCTGACTCTTTAAGACTAACTATTCATACTTGTCTCTGTAAGCACGTGATTTTTGCCCTATATGAGAATTACTCCCAAAAAATTCAAAATAAAATGATTTTCCTTGGTGTGAAATTTTGGATAATTATTTGTATTTGTCTGTGTTTGTTTATTTGTTAAATTAATAAAAAAAATACAAAAATATGTCGCATTTGCATGTAGGATTTAATTCTATAATTGTTACTAATTAAATTTGTTTACAAAAAAATAAAAATTACAAAAATAGGCATCTTTTGCATTTTTAGCATTTAATGTCCAAATATACAATTTTATGCTTAATTATTACTTAATTGTGCGTTAATTGTTATTTGGAGTTAATTTGCACTTTTATAACTTAATTTAGTTCTTAATAATAGTTTAAGTATTTTTATAATTTAGTTTTAGAGAAATAAAAGAAGAAAAGAGAGCGAAAATATAAAGAAAGTCGGAATTGGGCCTCTTCTTCGATTTCAAGCCATAGGCCCAAAAAATGGCCCAATCTTCC